AGATATCTTCAGACTTTTTAGAGTCTTGAATCTTCAAACTGTTTTGGTGTGGTCTTGGTTCAAGTGATCATTGAAAAGAGTTATATAATTGTTTTACAACTTTTGTTAAAAGCCCAAAGATGATTTACTTAGTAAAAAAAAAGGTTTCCTTGAACAAATACTACATTTCTTTAAAAAATCTTCATATTTCTATCTATATAATTTACTTATAGAATCATGTTACATTATACTATAAGAATTCTTTAGTACACTAGAGGATCATTTATTAATAAAATTTTGTAATATAGCTCTTTAAAGTTTGTTTTCTTATGATTTATTATAAAATTTATAATATAAAAATTAATTTTTTAGTTTTTTTATCAATTCTGTCTTTTTTATCGATCTAGTCTATATATTGTATATTGTAATAATTTACTCTTGCAGGTATGAATGACACACGAGGTGGTTGAAGAAATAAACTATGAAATGGAGTAGCAGAAGACTTTAATGGAGACTGTTTATATCGTCTTAAATAACTTCCATATGGAATAGATTTGGCAACAGGTGGAGACATCGAATACGTGTTTTCGTCGGGAGACAGTTCTGTTTTGTTCACATAATAGTCACTATCTGAATCTATGAAATTATTTATAGCAATAATACCTTGTAAGAAAGTTAATATAAAAAGGAGAAATTATTTAATGGATATTTTTTTTACCTCCATCAATAATGACTGGTGTATTATGACCAATGGTTGTGTTATCGCTATCACTATCATTAAGACTTTCATTTTCGTCGCCATCTGACGCAGTAACAAACGATGTGTTTGATACACTAACGCCTGACCCAGTAATTATAGATACGCTGAAATAATATGAAATGAATATTATAGAATACTCTCTTAAACTGAAAAAAAATAATCTTTATAAACAAACCTGTCATCATCCGTTCGTAGCCACATATCGTATTCGTCGTCATCACCATGGTGGTCAAACATTAACATATTCTTAATATTTTTTCGA